TTCAAAAGGACTAGTGTACAGTCTCTTACTAAAAACAGAAAAGCAAAAGCATGAAGATGAACCATTAGAAGCATTGTTCTGAGATGGGTGACAGTTTTAACAAATGCTTTGCCACAGATCCAAACAGATGTAGCGAAGTGATTGTCTTTACAAAACAAGATACAGAAGCATGTGACATCTGATTACTTGTGCCACAGTTCCCCCCAACAATTCTTTCTTGAGAGGTCTCTCATTCTGCTCCGGAGCCTGGTCCATTCCGCACCCAGAGCCCACATGTCAGTCCCTCTGCCTGGCCACTGTTCTGAGAGTCTGTGCCATCCATCAGCCTCTTCAGCTTTGGCTTCATGCCCTGGAGAAACTCCCAAGCAAAAACACAAATCCTTGAGGGAGAAGTGCTATGATAAAAACAAACATGTAAGTTACACCTATAAAAATGTTACAGTTAAAAGGTAAATAAAAGGCAATATTGTTAGATGTGATAGTCGAACAAATGAGATAAAAGACAGAGTTCTAAAAATTAAATTTACAAAAAAAAAAAAAAAAAAAACCCCAAAAGCTTTAATAGTTAAGTAAGTCTTTTGTTATGTATGGCCAGAGTATATCAAATCAATTGATTTTATGCATTACAGAATAATTACTAGAGAAGGGAATTCCCACAACATGACGATTTCAGGGCCTGGTGTAATGCACATTATGTTGATAAGCTGCCATGTGTTGTTTGACCTCACTGAAAACTGTCTTCTGGAATCAGGTTGCACTCCCCATCCTGGACCCAAGCATGGCCGTTTCAAAATGTCCTCCAAGTCTCCATGTGGGGCAGGTTGCTCCCCTGCTCAACCTTTCCCTGAGAGTAAACATATTGTGTGTCCTTGAGAAAGGCTACAAGGTGAACCATTCACAACAGAGGTTGCTATTGTTTATCTCAATATGAAAGCACCAGAAGTGGGAATGAGAATACAGAAGATTGGCCATGGGAAGCTTGGCCACAGGAATCTCAAAGCATAGTCAAGAGCCCCATCTGACCTTAGTTTCTTTGGTTGGTTTATCTGGATGTTTGCAGTCAGGTGTTACTCTTCTTCTCTTACTGTTCTTCACCTGGAAGCCTCATCTGAGAAACTCTGCTTCTTAGGACTCTGGAGATTGCTAACTCCACCAGGCTGCCTGAAGGAGGCTTGCCGGGCTGATTCCTCCTGGGGGATTTGAACACTTGATGTTTGGTATAGCACAAACTAACTTTATTTTCTTGTTACAGGTTATGTTTTCAGCATTTCATGACCTTAATATTTTCAGTTTTTGATTTTCTAAGGTAGCCAAGTCTAAAGAAAAAGGGAAAAAAGCAAGCATTGGGTGGATCCTTGAGTTCTGACCTCAGTGTTGGTCTAAGGTCTTGGGTGTCTACTCCGTGAGAAATAAACACACCCCACCATTGTTGACACTAATTGTGTCTTTCACTTGTGTCTTCTCAGAAGGAAAGCCAAGAATCAAATTACTTCGAGGGACAAGTTCCTTTTCATCACTGGGGGTGGCCTCTGCAGGCAAGGCTAAAGCTAGTCCCATGGTGGTGTGGGCTGTGCCCATGGCCAGAGCCCATGCTATTCATAGTATGTGGAGAAGAGAGGCAAGATGCTCTTCCTGGGTCTAGAACATCCACAACTCAGCAGCAGCTCATTTTGGGGGAGGGAACAAAAGTTAAGAGAAAGTAGACTAGGGAACATTGCACACAGAGAACAGGTAAGGGGACACTCAATAAAACTAGTCAGAAATTTCTTTCATTACATGTAATGTTGTTATTTGACTTAGTATCTTGTTTACAGGTCACCAACTTTTGGCTTACTTCACCTAATCAGAACTGACTACAAGTCAGTGAAGAGAGTGTCACTGAGGTGAAATCTTCTGGGAAGTGTTTCCACAGTCAGCTCACAGAAGCTGTGTTCTAGAGGTGGCCAAGGCTGTGCCTTGTGCTGGCAGCTGTAACAGTCACACCAGGTTTTGAAGGCTTTAGGGAGTCATGGAGAGCAGCTGAGGTTTGTTTATGAGAGGCCCGGGGAAGCCTTGGGGGGGCCAGTGGAGAGCATAAAAAGTGTTAGGTATAATCCCCAGGATTGAAGCAGTCACGAAAAAACTGAGGCTTTATACCATGAAGAGGGCCCGGGACAGGATGTCAGTGAAAGTGCAGCCCAGTCATCAGTACCACGGGACAACTAAGAACTACCAAGAACAGCAGCTGTGGTGTGGAGCCCACCTGAGCCTGGAAGACTAACTGTGTATCTTGCAGAGAGAGGAGCTGAGAAGTAACCCAGGCCCTGGGCGGGAGCCCAGCAGATGATGAGCAAATCCCTGACGATTGGATATTCAGTTATTTACGTAGTGGAAATTTGGGTCTCTTTGCTCCAATTGTGACCCTGCCCTGGTTCTTCCCTCTTGGAGTAAGAAAGGGTTTAACTTACTTTTGATTTTGCAGGAGCCACAGTTGAAAGACTTTGAACTTTTAAAAAGATTTTGGGGTTACATAAAGACTTTGGATTTTAAAAGGGTTTGAATATTTTAGAGAGACTGAATTTTAAGTGTTTGAATTTTAAAGGCCATGGAACGTTTAACATTTGGAGTGTTTATATTGTAATGTTGATATCCGTGTATGATTTGAGAATGAACAAGAACAGAAAGATTATGGCTTAACGGTGAGATGTTTGTGTGTCAAGCTAGAACATTTTATGTCAACTTGATACAATCTAGAGTCATCTGAGGAGGAAACTTCAATTGAGAAATTCCTCCACAAGATATAGATGTAGGCAAGCCTGTAGAGTATTTTCATAATTATTGATTGATATGGGTAGTCTCAACCATCATGGGTGGTGCCATCCTGGGCCAGTGGTCTTTGGTTTTATAAGAAAGCAGGCTGAGCCAGCCATCAGGAGCCAGACACTTAGCAGCACCCTCCATGGCCTCTCCATCAGCTCCTGACTCCAGGTCCCTGCCCTCTTTGAGTTCCTGTTCTGATTTCCTTTGATGATGAGCTTTGATATGAATGTATACAGCTAAATTAAACCATCCCTCCCCAAGTTGCTTTGGTCATGGGGTTTTGTCACAGCAATAGAATCCTAATGAAGCTTGTGTGAATTTATGTGAACCATGTATATGCAGATACCCATGGGGACCTGGAAAGGGAGTTAGGCTGTTGTGAGCCAACTGATGTGGATACTGGGAACCAAGATTGAGTCATTTGCAAGAACAGTGAGTGCTCCTAACTACTGAGCCATCTCTCCATCTTCAAAAGTAAAAAAAATATATGACATGTCTACTATTTAAAGCAAATTTCTCAAACTTACCCAAGGGCAAATGCAGCACCTAAGAGACATTAAAAAGCTTGCTCATTGTATGGTTTCTTACCACTCTTGGCAATGTGTCTCACATGATGAAAAGGGAATGTGTCAAATGAACCTGATTGGTAGTCAAGATGAATAAGTAATTAAATAATAGATGAATGACTATTAATAAGGAATGGCCACAGACTGGAGGATTATGGCATACATATCATGCCCAGAGTGTATGATATCATGGCACATTTATTGTGGAGCAGAATATGAGATGTTGTACGTGTATGGGTTTTCATAAAGAAAACAAATGTTTACGAGATCCTATGAGCATATAGAGGTGAGGGGGAAGATGCACATTAGGTGTTTATGAATGAGAGAGTAGAAGTGGGTTGGAGAGAGCAGGTTAGGAGTGTAAAGGGAAGGAAAAGAAAGAAGGGGGAGGGATCAAATCACTGTGTGCATTAGGTATTAATGTAATGCTATCCTTGTGAACACCACATTAAAGGAAACAATAGAGTCAGAACCACCAGATGTCTGTGTGCGGCAGGCACTTCCAGGGAATTCCACAGTGCCACTAGGTCTTGGGAACAGTTCGTTTGTTACTCATTTCACTTTTCTCATTTTCAACTTAGGGTTTTATTGATTCATTGATTTTTTTTAAAATGATGTGCATGCATTTGTGCACATGAATGCAGGTGCCTATGGAGGCCAGAAGAGGGCGCCGGATGCCCTGGAGTGGGAGTGACAAAAGACGGTGGACTTTACCATGTGCACATGCTAAAAGCTTATCTACTATAGTGTAAAATTTTCGTCAGTTAAAAAAGGCATGAAGAATCTTTTTTTTTTTGCAAGACACAGGCGTTTGTTTATTGAGTCCAGGCCCAGCCCGGCTGATACCTCTACAGCTCAGAGTAAAGGGCTCAGGGAAGGCACAGGTTAGCAAACTGCTTTAATGGAAACTCCCCCAGCACACCATCTGGGACTGGGTGGAATGTGGCCAGGGCAGGCCCTGGGACAATACTGATCCTGTAGTTGTTACCAAAATATACATCTGTCACCATAAAAAACTGCTGCACCGCCTCAGGCCCACACAGGTATAAAAATCATAAATATTTACACTCTTGCCACTCCTTCACAGAAGCAAGGTCCAGGGAACCCCTCCCAGACAGGCTAGGCATGATATGGGCATTTGGTAGGGGCATTAAGGCCTAGAGGTTGCCCCTCACCTGGGCCTAGTCAGAGGCGGGCAGAAAACAAAACTTTGGTCCAAAATTTGAAGGTAAGAACCCACTGGTCTCAGAGCTGTTTTTCTCCAGACAGAGGCAGCACTGGCCTGGGTCCCACCTACAAGTTGGTCACCGGGAAAGGAGGGGACAAGCACAGGGACATAGAAGCTTAGAGTACACACATACCATTGTATCATTGCTATAAAAAGTTACTTAAAACTATATCTCTTGCATATAAATGGGAAAGATTCAGGTATTTGGTCAAGTGGAAATATTGCTAGGCACGGGTATCTGCGACCACACAGAATAGAATACAAAGGTCACATGAGGCACGGCAGCTGAGGATGGCCTGGACCTGGGCCCCCCCCCAGGCTGGCCAGGGACATGGGAGAATCATGTCACTTGTTTATAAGGGTGGGGGCAGTGGCCCCAACTCCTGCACAGCATAGGGAGCCTGTGCTTGTGCTGCAGGCCATCTGGCTCACCTGCAGGTCTAGACAGACTGGTGGCCTAAGAGGCTGGGTGAGCAGCCACAAGGTGGGCTGGTTTTGTAAGGCACAAGAAAGCGGCTGTGTTCGGGGCACCGCTGTGGCCTTATACCTGAGCCCCTCAAGGCATGGTGCCTGGCCTGAGTGGGCCTCTGTGGCCCAAAGCCATTTCTGGCCATGGCAAGGTGGACTAGATTTAATTTTTTAAAAAATGGGTAAACTGATCTCTCTTTAAAAAAATAAAATCTCTGGTCTGTAAGGTCACTTCAGCTGCTTTTTAAAGTGGCTTTTCTGGAATGGTGGAAGCTGTTGCAGGCCCACAGGCACCTAGATGGTGGACTTAGAGAAGGACACACGCAGGTGGTGGTTCTCGCCCAGGTCATGGTTGTACAGTTCAATCAGTGCCTGCACAGCCTCCTCCACAGATCCCATCTGGATCAGTGCCCTCTTCCGGTCCTTCTGGAAGAACTTGAAGCCTTTGACCACACCACTGTTGCTGGAAAAGAGGCTCTTGAGATCATCCTCTGACACAGTGGTGAGTAGCTGAGGGTGTGAAGATGTTCTGGAAGTTTTTGGAGCCCAGCTTCTTAAAGCGATGCAGTAGTGAGCTTCCATAGTCCTTGGTCAGGCCCTAGTCCTCCTGTCCCTCATGAGGCAGCTGCACACTCTGATGCTTTGACAGTGTGATGCACACTGACTTCCCATGTAGCTTGTGCCCATTCAGGTAGCTCACGGCCAACTGGGCCTGGCTGCCATCCGCCATCTGGACAAGTGCATTTTCCTTCTTGTTGAACAGAATCTTCACCCGCTGCACATCACCACAGACTCTGAAGAGAATAAAGAGGCTTTGGGGTGTGACTTTCTCAGGGTTCAGGTTGCTGACTAGAAGGACAGAATTTCCGGCACCTGCCAAGCCTGGAATGGCAATGTGGCCAGCTGCAGCAGCCGCAGCAGCCGCAGCAGCCGAAGGTATGGCCAGGGGGGCCAGCGCTCCGTGGACATTAGGAACAGAGAGACCAAAGGCTGCAGCCATGGTCTGGTCCAGCGAAGGCTGGCTGTCCCCAGAGGGCAAGTCAGGCTGAGTGTAATCTCTGCTCTTGTCATTGTTGTATTTGACATTGAGACTAGTGAGCTTGGAGAAGTAGATGTGCAATGTGCAGCAGGCATTGTAGATATTCTGGCCATCCAGTGACAGCTTGGCATGTTGGGCGCTCACAGGGTCAGCATACTGCAGCAGGGCCTGGAACTGATTATTCTTGGTGAATGTGATGATCTTCAGGACTGTGCCAAACTTAGAGAAAATCTGGTGCAGAACATCCAGGGTCACTGGGTAGAAGAGGTTTTCTACAATGAACCTGAGCACTGGGCTCTGGCCTGCCATTGCCATCCCAGCATCCACAGCAGCAGCAGAGGCTGCCAAGGCCAGGTTTCCAGACTGCACAGAGTTTACAGCCTGCAGGGCTGCCTGGGCACGTGCCTGGTTGGGTGAGCTGTCAGTTTTGAGCTCCTTGTGATTGGAGAACTGGATGTAGATGGGCTGTCCACGCAGCACCAGTGCCACTGACGTATAGTAGTTAACCATGGTGTTGGCAGCCTCCTCTGTGTTCATTTCAATGAAGGCCTGGTTCTTCCCCTTCAGCATAAGGAGGTTGGCAACCTTCCCAAAAGGCAGTCCCAGAGAGACGACCTCGCCCTCAGTGACATCACTGGGCAGCTTGCGGACATGGATCACTCTGGAAGGGACTCCCGTGCTCCTATTGTCACCTTTAAACTTCTTGCTATCATTTCCATTGGCTGCTGAAGCCGAGCTGCTCATGATGAAGGGGCCGTTGCCGACACCCGTGGAGAAGAGCTCGTCATCGGATCCCCGCTTTGTACTGACTGCTATGTCTGGGACGATGCCGTCCATGGCACACAGAGCAGACTCGCGGGGGACGGAGCGGAGGCGCAGGAATAGCCAGCATGAAGAACCTTATAAATGAATATAGTCTGAGTGACATATTCTCATGAATCACAGCTCTCCATGGCACTGTGAGGTCATCTTTCCACATCACTGTGAGATTTACCATTAAGAACAATTTTCAGTTGAACTTCTTTAAACGTTAGCTGACATACATGGGCACAAACACTCCATGACTAAACTTCACATGATGAACTTTGTAATGCTAATGTATTTACTTGGCAGACTTTTCAATATTCTAGAATATTTTGTCCTGTATTTCTTTTTGAATAAAATTTCTCACTCACCTTTTTTTCTGGGAGTATATATTTCTCATTAACCTATTTCTGAAAAGCTATCAATGCCTTAGCACACTTGCCCTAAACTCATTTGGATCTCATCCATTGTTCACAAGTTCTAGATGCTGTTCTATTTCAATTCTCAGTCTCCCTCTGGTTGTACACTGATTGCTCTATGCTAACATTTCCTAAAGTTACATCCATTTAATTCAGTGGCTCTCAACTTTCCTAATGCTATAACCCTTTAATTCAGTTCCTCATGTTGTGGTGATCCCCAGCCATAAAATTATTTTCATTGCTTCATTGTAACTATAATTTTGCTATTGTTATGAATCATAATATAAATATCTGTGCTTTTCTATGGTCTTAGGCAACCCTTGTGAAAGGGTCAACCAACCCCCACAAAGAGGCACGACACAGAGGTTAAGTATTCATCATGTATTGATAGTATGCTACCGAGGAAAAACAAGACTACATTTACAGGTACTGGGAGACACTGTCACTGAAGGAGTAGGAATCCAAAATAGCAATGCATCAAACTGCCTGGCCTGCTTTGAAAAAAGTTTGGCCTATTACTATTCAAAATACACAGTGGCAGAATAAATAAGTAACCTTGAAGATACATGTAATCCAAAGTCTTTGCTGAGTCCTCTCTCTCCCACCAGTTTTTCTCAGGGAATTTGCTTTAAGACACTGTTCTGCTTTGTCACCAAATCTGGACGTATAGAGGTCACTGATAGACTCCTCCTAAGACCCATTCTTTTCCTCCTGCTGCTTAGACACCAGGGCTGATAGTCTAACCAGCTTCTGGGACATCTGGGTCTTCTCATTCAAGGATCCTACACTAGTATGGATAGTGCCCTGCTATTGAGAAAAGTAGATAAAGACCCCTCACACACACTGTGTGCGTGTGTAATATAAAAAAAATCTCACAACCAGGGTCACAGATACTTACAAAAATGACCATTTCTACAACACTAAAGAATAAACCCCCCACAGATGCTCTATTTGTGCCCAAACTGACCTATTCTATCCATACACCTCCCCGGGCTATCTTATTTCATATCAAAGCTGATGCAACTAGATTGAGCCTTAGTGTCCTTAGATGATCATTATTAAACAAGTGGGCAGCCAAAGTGTGCCATTGCTTCTAGAATGGTAATTTCCACACTGGTTATCTACTGGACAAGCCAAATGGCCATTCTCACCATTTGATTTACATAAGGTAAAACCATAGGCAACGTGGTTGGCATTGTGATACCTTCCCGACATCCCTTTCTACACCATTGTCTCCACTACAGGTGATTTCCACAGAAAATTCCATGGTATGTAAGAAAAGACTAGTGTAAATAGTATTAGGGGAAATGTAATGCAGATGAAAATCAATCAAATTCTGTTCATTGACCTTGTGTCTCTAACTCAGTTTCTGGAGTTTCCCATTTTCACTCCCTCCTAACTACCTTTTGTTGGGATGAGTTCTCATTATGTAGTCTGTGTCTCCAGCTCACTACGTGGCTTAGGATTACCTTGAGCTGAGTGTAATCCCCCAGCCTCATTCTGAGTCCTGAGGTTATAGGCATGTGCCCACATACCTGGCTTCTTAGTGTAAGTTTGGTACCGTTAATTTGAATTCTCCTCTCCATATGTTCAATGACTTAACTTTGTTTTTGCTGCATCTATTCCATGTCCTCTTAGTCCTAGAAACTATTTTGCTATTTTACCTCTCCATTTCCATTGCTGGGTCTCTGGATGTTTCTGGACAATATGAAAAAAAAAAAAAAAAAAAAAAGCTCAGGTTTGTTTACTCTGCTGGAATTGAACTTAGAATTTTGGCAAAAACCAGGGCATCCCAACTGAGATTAAGACAGAGAAGCAAAGAAGCTTGTAGAGGAAGCTAACTTGCCAGCAAGATGAGAGACATCACATTAGAAGAGAGTTAGAAAAGCTGTCCCTAAAATGACAGTTTTATTGATTGTTCCTCCTGAGTTTCCTTAGCAGTGTTCCTCAACCTTCCTAATGCTGTGAAACTTTTAGTACAGTTCCTCTTGTTGTGGTAACCCCCAACTGTAAAATGATTTTTGCTGCTAGTTCATTGCTGTAATTTTGCTACTGTTGTGAATTGTTAGGTAAATATTTCTGGAGATAGAAATTTGCCGAAGGGGTCACAACCCATAGGTTGAGAACCATTGTCCTACAGGATTCTCCCCCACTCCTGCCTGGGCACACACCTGTAATCACAGCACTTGAGAGGCTGTGGCAAGAGATGGGGGGATTCAAGGCTAGCCAAGGGTACACAGTAAGACCCTGATTCAGAAAACAAAACAAAATGAAAACCAAGGCATACTCACTAAATATTGCCTACTCTTGCAGAGAGTTTGGTTTCCATACCTGGTAAGAAAAAGTAGCCATGCTCAAGATCGCCCTGCTGAACAAAACAGTTTCCCCTGGACAGCACATTCTTGAAGAATTTTTACAATTAGGTTGTAATGTAACCATCTCAGGGCATGAACCTGTATTTCACAATGCCTTCTTTTACTTGATTACAACTTTTAGATCATTTCCTTTATTCCTTTATCCTTGGAGCACAGAACTCTGTGACCATATTCATAGTGAAGGGTCTCTAGGTATTATTGAATAAATAAAGAAGCAAGTAACTATTCTTTGTTAGTCTTTAGAGGTAATGTGACAAGAGTAAGAATTCCTGGAGCCTTTACTCAACTAGAATACTTCATGAGAGGTTTAGAAGCTTACGCTGATGGTGTTTCCTCTTTAGGCAGACCAGAAGAATGTGCCAGTGCAATAATCCACCCCTCAGGTCAGGACTTTAGGCTAGCCAGAGTGGTCTTCTAGCCCTTCAAATTCCTCCTGAGTTTCCACTTCTGACCTCTCCGTGGTATTTGCAGAGCACCAAAAGAAAAGCAAACTCAAATGCCTAAGTATATTTGCATGCTAACTTCAGGGAAGCATATTTGTAGGGTTAGACATTGTTTCACCAGTAACTTTACTACTACAGTCTAAAAGACCTGACATTCATTTATTTCGTGTTTTCCTTGCTTATTTCTGGAACTGTGGTCATTCTTGAGTACCTCCTGAATTATTTAAACAGCCACCACAGTCTTGAGATTCAGAGGTGGCAGACATAAGAGATGACCCCTTCACCAAGCCAGGAAAATAACATTTGAGTGCAAAGGAAGCAACACACTCACAAGAAATGGCTGAGAATAGCCCAACCCTTTACCCTGAAAAAAAGGGGGGGCACCTAAAGAGAAATACTATGTAGCCACACCTTCATTTGGCCAAATATATGGTTGTAAGACACTAAGCTACTCATTACAAGTTTCTACTTAAATTTTCTGCCACATTTTAAGCACAAACTGTGGTTCATGGGTTAACACAGAGTCACAAAGAAAACACTGTCCCCTAGAACATCCCTCTTAAGATTCTTGGACACCAGAGATCCCCATATCCCCATCCCCTCCAAGTGACCCTTGGGTTTGCTAATGGCTGGGTTCAGGCTTCAGTGTTCCACAAACTGTTTTGTTCTTTTTCTCTGGTCTCTCAATGACATCCCTCAAGAAACTCTGGCTGATATTTTGTCATCCTCCTCCCCTAATTTTCTCACCAAAATGTTTAATTAGTGAAAAAGCAACATATTTATAGATATAATAAAACAGTAGAGGAGAAATGTTTTAAATATACAAATGACTTGTTATATTTATGTACATATACACATACCTAAATATATATTCACACATATATTTAAAGAGTTCTTTAAGTATACATACTTGCAATTCAAGAAACCATATAGCTTTTCTTTCTTTCTTTTTTTTTTTTTTTTTAAGGCATGATGAAAGTAACTGACATGAGAACATCAAGTTCTTGGAGATATCCCAAAATGAATGTATGTGTGCAAAATGTCAAAGTATTTTTAATGTATTATTAGGAAAGTTTTCGGAGCTAAAATCCAACCAGACCTTATCTGTCTATCTGTCTGTCCATCATTTTAAACATACCATCTAACGTGTCATTAGGATCTTGAAGTATATATTGTTATCACTGTTTTACACATGCAGAAATTGAGGTGTGGAGAAGCTAAAGTGAGTTAACAGATCCTAAGTTTGTTCTACTCTGTTAGCAAAACTTAAAGGTGACAATAAATTGGAAGTAGCCAGGCATGATACAAAACGCATGTATTTAATTTTTGTGTATCATGCTAGGTATCAAACCTAGGCGCTTATGCATGTCAGGCAAACATTCTACTACTGAGATCCGTTCCTGCCTTTATATCTAATAGTTTATGTGGTTATGAAATTAAAATTTAGGTCCCTGACTTAATAAAACTTGATACTTTGTACCTTCCCAGATAACATTAGGTCCATAGAACAATATACAGCAATTTACTCCTTACCTTTGTCTTTATTATCTTATATTTTTATCTAATATATATTTGAGTTATATTATATTGTCACTGGTATTGTTTATATTACCATTATTAAGTTTTGCTTGCATGTTTTATCCTTTCCATTTTGGGGGCTACATTTCCATGTTTATACCTGGGTTCAGTGTCTTGGTTGAAGAACTAGTATAGGTCTGAGGGTGAGAAAGTCTCTCATTTGTTTATCACAAATGAAAATTAAATATCTTTATGCTATTTTCATTTTGAAGGACATTTTCCCTCTAAATAGAACTTGAAATTTCCAGTTGTTTTCTTTCA